CACCCCGACTTCCACTCACCCCGACTTCCACTCACCCTCACTCCCACACACCCCCACTTCCACTCACCCCCACTTCCACTCACCCCGACTTCCACTCACCTCCACTTGCACTCACCTCCACTTACACTCACCCCGACTTCCACTCACCCCCACTCACCCTCACTCCCACTCACCTCCCACTCACCCCCACTCCCACTCACCCCCACTCCCACTCACCCTCACTCCCACTCACCCCCACTCCCACTCACTCCCACTCACTCACTAACTAACTTCCACTCACCCCCACTTCCACTCACCCCCACTTCCACTCAACCCCACTCCCACTTACCCCCACTCCCACTCACCCCCACTTACACTCACTCCCACTCACCCCGACTTCCACTCACCCCGACTTCCACTCACCCCCACTTCCACTCACCTCCATTTGCACTCACCCCCACTCCCACTCACCCCGACTTCCGCTCACCCTCACTCCCACTCACCCCCACTCACTCCCACTCACCCGCACTTCTACTCACTCCCACTTCCACTCACCCTCACTTCCACTCACCCTCACACTCACCCTCACTCCCACTCACTCACTAACTCACTTCCACTCACCCCGACTTCCACTCACCCCCATTCCCACTCACCCTCACTTCCACTCACCCCCACTCCCACTCACCCTCCCTCACCCCCACTTTCACTCACCCCGATTTCCACTCACCCCCACTCCCACTCACTCCCACTCACCCTCACTTCCACTCACCATCACTCCCACTCACCCCCACTTCCACTCACCCGCACTGCCACTCACTCACTCACCCGCACTGCCACTCACTCACTCACCCGCACTTCCACTCACTCACTCACTCGCCCCCACTTCCACTCACCCCCACTTCCACCCACCCTCACTTCCACTCACCCCCACTCCCACTCACTCACTAACTCACTTCCACTCACCCCCACTTACACTCACCCCCACTCCCACTCACCCCCACTTACACTTACCTTCACTTCCACTCACCCCCACTCCCACTTACCTTCACTTCCACTCACCCCCCTTCCGCTCACCCTCACTTCCACTCACCCACACTTACACTCACCCTCACTCCCACTCACCTCCACTCCCACTCACCCTCACTTCCACTCACCCGCACTTCCACTCACCCCCACTTCCACTCACCGCCACTTCCACTCACCCTCACTCCCACTCACCCCCACTTCCACTCACCCCCACTTCCACTCACCCCGACTTCCACTCACCTCCACTTGCACTCACCTCCACTTACACTCACCCCCACTCCCACTCACCCCCACTTCCACTCACCTCCACTCACCTCCACTTACACTCACTCCCACTCACCCCGACTTGCACTCACCCCACTTCCACTCACCTCCACTTGCACTCACCCCCACTCCCACTCACCCCCACTTGCACTCACCCCCACTTGCACTCACCCTCACTTCCACTCACCCTTACTCCCATTCACCCCCACTTCAACTCACCCCCACTCCCACTCACCCCCACTTCCACTCACCTCCACTTACACTCACTCCCACTCACCCCGACTTGCACTCACCCTCACTCCCACTCACCCCCACTTCCACTCACCTCCACTTACACTCACTCCCACTCACCCCGACTTGCACTCACCCTCACTCCCACTCACCCCCACTCCCACTCACCCCCACTCCCACTCACCCCCACTTCCACTCACCTCCACTTACACTCACTCCCACTCACCCCGACTTGCACTCACCCTCACTCCCACTCACCCCCACTCCCACTCACCCCCACTCCCACTCACCCCCACTTCCACTCACCTCCACTTACACTCACTCCCACTCACCCCGACTTGCACTCACCCCACTTCCACTCACCTCCACTTGCACTCACCCCCACTCCCACTCACCCCGACTTCCAATCAATCAGATCAGAAGCAGAAACGGTTTTAATCGCCATGTAAGTTTGCACAAACAAGGAATTCACTATGGCGGGACGGTGCATACATTGAACAAGTAGGAATCTTAACTTATATAAAAGGTATACACTCTAACTATACTAACGTTACAAAGTATAAGTAATACCAAAGGGCTAAAATCTTTAAAATTATGAATAAGTAGACCTTATAAAATGCGAATGTAAAATGTTAATTAGTCGTATTAAACAATCTTAAAATACAAAAATACAAATAAGATTACACGTTGTAAGTATGGAAAGGTGTAATTATGTAGATAAAATGTTATAGTAAGTGTAACAGTCATTTGAAGTGTAAAAGTCATTTTAAGCCCTTGGCCTTGTTGAGGAGGCCAACAGCAGATGGGAAAAACTGTTTTTATGACCTGAGGTTTTGGTCTTGATGGACCGCAGCCTTCTGCCGGAGGGGAGTAGCTGGAAAAGAGAGTATCCAGGGTGCGAGGAATCGTCCGCAATCTTCCTCGCTCGCTTCAGGGTCCTCAAAGTGTGCAGGTCCTCAAGGGTTGGTAGATTACAGCCAATCACCTTCTCAGCAGTGCGGATGATACGCTGCAGTCTGCTCTTGTCCTTGGCAGTTGCAGCAGCGTACCAGACGGTGATGGAGGAGGTGAGGATGGACTGAATGATAGCTGTATAGAAGCACACCATCATTGTCTTTGGCAGATTAAATTTCTTCAGCTGCCGTAGGAAGTACATTCTCTGTTGAGCTCTCTTGATAAGGAAGCTGATGTTCAGTTCCCACTTGAGGTCCTGGGAAAGAATAGTGCCCAGGAAGCGGAAGGACTCAACATTGGTGACTGGGGAGTCGCACAGGGTGATGGGGGTGAGTGGGGCTGTATTCTTCCTGAAGTCCACAACCATCTCCACGGTCTTAAGAGCATTAAGCTCCAGGTTGTTCTGGCTACACCAGGTCACCAATCACTCCCACTCAAACCCACTCCCACTCACCCCCACTTTCACTCACCCCCACTTGCACTCACCCCCACTCACTCCCACTCACCCCCACTCCCACTCCCACTCACCCCCACTCACCCCCACCCCCACTCACCCCGACTTCCACTCACCCTCACTTCCACTCACCCGCACTTCCACTCACTCCCACTTCCACTCACCCTCACTTACACTCACCCTCACTCCCACTCACCCCCACTCCCACTCACTCACTAACTCACTTCCACTCACCCCGACTTCCACTCACCTCCACTCCCACTCACCCCCACTTCCACTCACCTCCACTCACCTCCACTTACACTCACTCCCACTCACCCCGACTTGCACTCACCCCACTTCCACTCACCTCCACTTGCACTCACCCCCACTCACCCCGACTTCCAATCACTCCCACTCCCACTCAAACCCACTCACCCCCACTTCCAATCACCCCCACTTGCACTCACCCCCACTCACTCCCACTTACTCCCACTCACCCCCACTCACCCCCACTCACCCCCACTCACCCCCACTCCCCCTCACTTCCACTCACCCTCACTCCCATTCACCCCGACTTCCACTCACCCCGACTTCCACTCACCCCGACTTCTCTTCCTGCTTCTCCATTTGTACGGCTCCACTCTGGAGTTCCCTGAAGGCTCTTATAATAATGTTTTTAAAAAAAAAAGCATTGATCCTGCCGTTTGTTGGTGGCTAATTTATGTTTTGGGCCTATGCTCAGCAACTGGTTTAAAACTAGAACTGGCAGCTCAGGGCTCCCATCCCCGGATGATCCACCAACCCTCCATTCTAATCCCTGAGTTAAAGCGGTGCAACATCCACAAAGCATAGTACGTGTGGGAAGTGATGACTCATGCTGAGAATGTGTCTCTCTGCTCTACAGCAGAAGTATGCAGTGTGTGAGTGTGCTTTATTAACCCAAGCAAGACACTACTGGTTCAAGCAAGCCTGACTCTACTGATGAGACAATGAATGTTGAAACCGGTCCAGAGTTTGCTTCAATTGAACATATGCTCATTTAATTCTCCACTCCCAAATGATCGTGTGGCCGATGGGATGTGTGAACAAATATTCTCAATTTTTTACGTGTAGGGTTTGGAAAGGAGCCGCGTTGTTCACTTATGCATTTGCTCCTTTGCTTGAGGGAACTGGATCGCAGAAGGGGAGAGAGCCTGCACCTCCGATTAGTACGGTTGGCTACGTACGGTGCGAAAGAAGTTCAACATACATACTACACAGATACTTCATAATGCTGTGAACATGAAGAACAAATGCACTGCGTTCAAATGTAGAATGAGAGATAGTAAGCACTATGAAAAGTATGTTAAGTATCTTAAAACGAGCAATTGGAACCCTGATCGTTATTGATAACCATAAATTATGGAAATTTCACCTTCCCTTGGCAGGAATTAGTTTCAAGTTTCATTTATTAGGTATAGCACTGTGAGCCATTCGGCTCTTGAATCGGGTGCAACCGCAACAAGCAAAAAACATGAACAAGAAAACATCTTAAAGTGACTATGTGACTATATGCAAACAGAAAATCAAAGAAAAGACAGGAAAATATTGCAGAAAAAGCACCATTGAGCCGGGCGTCGAGTGATCCAATGCTTTGGAGGCAAAGGTTGGTGGATCACACAGATGTGTGAAGTCACTGAGCTGCGAGGTGGCCACAAGCTGCCAGTACAGAAAGTGGGTTCATGAACTGGTCTGTGAAAAGATTTTAGTCTTTTACCTATCCTATTGGACAGTAGACACACGATCTCCAAGACCTACCCTAGCCGTTTCCCACCATGTGCCCTCGTCTTTCCCTCGGTCTCCAGACTCCCAAGTCTGCCTCGGCTATCAGCCCCCCCCCCCCCCCATCCAGGATGCACCATGTGCCATCCAGCGCCTTATAAAATCTATAGCACTTATCAGCCCCGTCCTCCAGCATGCAAGCGCGGAGTTGTTACTTCCCACACCTCTTATTAGCACGGTTGGCTACGTACAGCGCGAAAGAAGTTCAACATACGCACGTACATTTATACGACTACAATGCAGTTCTTAACCTTGTCATCACTTTTGTCATCACTGTTATTGTACCCAGGGTCTGCAGTCATACTCTGCCTGCACCTCGTTCGCACTGATGAAAGGGACCGCGGTGCTTGTGCTGGGTAAGGCCCCACGCCATGTGGCCCATCTCTTCACCTGGAGCTAATTTACACAGTCGTTTTGGGACACTTCCAGTCCAGATATTTAATGTAGTGGCAATTACATTACAGAATGTCTGCTTTCTCAAGAAAGGGATGGGGAACAATTGGCCTGACTCACCTAATATGTGTTTGGCTCTTCAGGAAATAAAGCCAGGGCCATTGCCCCAAAACTTGACCTGCTATATATATATTCTTTGAAAGCCACAGTGTTATTGATGAACGTGTTGAGTTTTTGTTTGTGTTTTGTGCACAAAAGAATTTGTTAATAATAAGTTAGATTGGGTAGGCCACTGAGAGACAGAAAGAGTAGCACATGGATCGTAGAACAAACACAAATGAGAGATGTAATTTTAACTAATGCTGTAAATAAGTGTGCTTGGGCAGGACACGCTCTAGAAGGCATGGCCGGTGGTTGACGCGTGATGGTTCAATGCCAGTTGAGTGAGAGAACACACCCGAGAGGATGTTCACCGTGGAGATGGAGTGATGAAATTCGCTCTTGTTCAGGTGCCAGATGGATCGTTACATCGCAGGACCATAACAGATGGTCATGGGTTGGGGAGGCCTTCACTCAGCAGTGGATCAATCATGGCTGATTAAATGAGCTTGAGGTTTATTCTTTGAAAAAGGCTGATTTATTAAGGATGCTCAACTCAACTACATTGTTTCAATAGTAATTACAGTGGTCCATCAGTTAACAATATTAATTGGTTCCACAAAAACCATCGTTAATTGAAATTATTGTTGATTGAATATCGGAAATACATGTTAAAGGCTTAATTTCTTCCAAGATGATCGAAAGTTGACCTTTTTCACCCTGAAAACATGGTTTATAATATTTAAACACGCAATTTAAATAAATAAACGTTATAAGAATATATTAAAGTATTAATAGAAAACATGGATACATAATGAATAAATAAAGCAGGGATGTCCAAACTTTTTGCAAAGAGGGCCAAATTTGATAAAGTGAAGATGTCCGGGGGCCAATAGTTCCTTCCGACATTTTTACCACAAAAGTTACGTCAAAACACACACTGTTATAAAAAATGATCATTGTCACAATTACCTTTATTTTTCAAGTGACAATGTAAGCCACTCAGGCAGACGTGAACAACTCTAAAAACACAATTCTGCCTTTCATTCTGTCAGATAACATTGAACAAACTGTATAGAATACCTTAAATTTCCATAAGTTAAATATATTTGCCTCATGAACATTTTAAACTGGAGTTGTAAGTAATGCAAAGTGGTCTGTTATCATTAAACTTTAAAGCAAGTGAATTTTGCCCTTGTCTTTTACAAGATCTTTCAGAAAGCAAGAGTTTGTGTCACATCTACAGGTACATAACATCAACAGTTATAACCAAATCTCATTCAAGAGTTTAATAAAACAAGTGCCATAAGTCCAAGTGCATTAGTGTGCTTTAGGCTTTTCACTGTTAATAGTGACAGATGTTACCGTTCAAAACACTCAATTTCAGATTGATCAAGGAACAGATAACTTGCTGACACTAATGAGAAGGGTGATACTGAGATCTAGATTTTAGTAAAGAGACCAGGTCTGGCTTGAGGGCAGTGGTTGAGATGCGAAAAATGCCACGCAAGTGGGAGTCACTCATCCTTGAGCTCAATCGGTTCTTGTTTAAGTTCATGACTGAGAATGTTTGCTCACACAAATATGCTCAACATTTTCTTAGCGAATGACCACATTTCGGGAAACCTGCTTTTGTCCAGCTGCCGGTAAAAGTTAACAAGAGAACACTGCTGGTGTTTCCCGCGGCACTCATCGTCAAACTGCAGCTCAATGAGCTCCAGCTGCAGCTGTGGAGGAGCATCATCAGGGTCCACGGAGAAGGGGGAAGAGAAAAGCAACATGTCCTTTTCAATAACTGCAAAGTCCCGAAAGCATTTATTAAATTTCACAGAAAGTGATGCGATAGCTGTTGCATAACTCTTCATTTGCGCACCGATGTTGTCCTGTGGGAAACTGTCAATGACCTCTTTCAAAGCTGGGAAGTGCGCGGTGCAGGGCTCTGTTTGGGACAAGTGTTTTTGGAAAAGTTGCAGTTTGGTTTCAAAGGCCTTGATGTGAGCATATAGCTGGCTCACCACTGAATCTTTCCCTTGAAGATTAACATTCAGCGCATTCAGATGCTTCGTTATGTCAACCAAAAAGCCAGATTTGCCAGCCATACAGGATCGGACAGTTCTTCCATTGGTTGTCTCTTCTCACCCAAAAAATGTCCAATTTCCTCTTTGAGAGAGAAAAATCGCTGCCGTGCGGACTCCCGACTTAGCGACCTCACATCGTTGTGATATATTACGTCACCGTATTCAGCCTGGATGTCACGCAAGAACTGCTGAAACTGTCGGTGGTATAGAGCTTTAGAGCAAATAGAATTGATTGCTTTTGCCACTGGTTTCATAACATCGTCAAATTTGAGATGTTTGGCGCAGAGAGCCTGCTGGTGAATGATACAGTGAAGTTTAATAGCATTGCCTGCTTCTTCGCTGATTTTATTGCAGATCAGTGTGGACAATCCACTTCGCTCACCAGCCATGGCAGGCGCACCATCGGTAATGATCCCAGAAACTTTACTCTATGGTAGTTTCATATCATCAACAGCTTCACAAACAGAAACGAATACATCTGTTCCTCTGGTTTTACCCTTTAAGGCTTTTGAGGTCAAGCAGCTCCTCTGTCACGTTCATGTTGTCATCAACTCCTCTTAAAAAAATAAGTAGTTGTGCAGTGTCAGATGCATTGGTGCTTTCATCGCAGGCTAATGATAAATAATCAAAAGCCACTCCCCTATCCCCCAGTTGTCTCTGAATATCTGACGATATGTCCTCAACTCTCCGTGCCACAGTGTTGCGTGCCAGGCAAACATTAATAAATTCTTGCTTCTTCTCGGGGAAAATGTTCTCCACCATTTTCATGATAGTCTTTGATAAACGCACCTTCAGTAAAAGGTTTGCCAAGTTTAGCTATTAACATGGCCACTTCGTAGCTGTCTTTGGTGATGTTTTCCTTTGACTCACAGGCCGGCATGAAGAATCGCTGTTGCGATGCCAGAGCAGCTTAAAGTTGCTTTACTTTTTCAGCGCGGTCACTCCCTGTTAGCTTGTCGTATGTTGTAGCATGTTTAGTCTCGTAGTGCCTCTTTACGTTGAAATCCTTAAACAAGGCAACCATCTCTTTACAAATTAGACAAACACAATTTCCTCGATTTCCAGTGAAGAAGTATTGTAATTCCCACCGCTCCTGAAAGCGGCGGCCCTCACTGTCAACTTTTCTCTTTTTTTTTGCAGTCACCATGGCAGAAATGATTCGAGAAGGGTTCGCGGCACGGATGCAGAGCCAGAGAGCATTAGAATGGTGCTGCCACCATGTGGCGGAAGGAGGAATTACATCTTTAAAGTTTTACGATTTATTTATTCTGACAGAGGCTAGCGAGCCATAAATAACACATTATGAGACCGAAGCTGTGGGCCGTATGAAATCTGACCGCGGGCCGTGATTGGCCCGCGGGCCGGACTTTGGACATGCCTGAAATAAAGCATAACAAGGTGCATAAATAGAGTGTAAATAAATGTCTTACCTTCGGCTAAAAAGATGGATGGCTTAGGTCTACTGAGTCCACTTAGGAGTGCTCTGATTGGCCGAAATTGGCATCTGCGTGATATTGTAAACATCGTTAATCGAAAATGTTGCGTTAATAGAAACAATGGGACCCAATAGAAGACGGATTGTTAATCAATGGCATCGTAAACCGAGAGACCACTGTATTATTTATTCACTTAAAGCTTTCGTGACTGCAGGAATTCATATTCTTTGGGTCTTTCCGTAAAGCCACGTAGATAGAAAAAATAATAACAATATATGGATGTTTCGATCGCAACACAAGCAATCGTCATCACCTGCTGACGTCATATCCTGAAGACGATTGCTTGTGTTGCGATCGAAACATCATGATATTGTTGTTATTTTTATTATTATTTTCTATCTACGTGGCTTTACCGAAAGACCCAAAGAACACTGTATTATTATTTAGTATTTTACAGGGATTTGTGTTGCACCTTCTCACGCGACTTTTATGAAGTGAGGAACTCTTTCAAAAAACTATTTCGAGCCTCTTTAAGAGCACATAATACGGTCCATTTCAGAAATTCCCTTCACACACACAAGCCGTTGGCCACTGCAGGAAGCTGAAAGTCTCGACGTAGGATTGTGGAAAGTTATGTTTTATTAGCAGCAACACGTAAACAATACGCTACAAAACCGGTAACCAGTTTGCCACACGTATAAAGATGTCTCCATCAATAACCATAACTGGACTTGCCATCCAAAGGTTCTATCTCCCAGCGAGGCAGTTGGAATATAGGGGTAAGATTCTTAAATCCCCCCACCAATTTCCACCCAGCAGCATAAATGGATACACTGCAGTTAGTTGATCGGCAGGTCGCGTGTGGTAGGGTAAAGTGTTGGTACGCACACCGCTTTTCAACACGGCTCGTCAGTGTGGAAGAGTAGGCCAAGTACCCTCTCAAACTCCTTCTAGTGGAGGCCCTTCTTGCAGCAGTGGCGTAAGCTATTGCATGGCTGCAATTTTACCTTTTATTTACCCACATTATTTATCCCGAGTCCTGCCGCTGTACTGTTTGTATATTCGCACGTGTCATTCATCGCATTACGAATATTCTGCTGGATTAAATTTCCAGTTCCTGACTTTCAGAATTGGTAACTGATTCTGAAAATGGTTACCTAGTATTGTTTTACAATCCCAACTGTCTCGTACTTACCCTATGGCCAGAGTGCTGACCGCAAGGAAATTTTGCACACAAAAGTGGCAGAAATCCATTGCTTAGTTCATGCTTGGTTTGTGCCTATTACAGAAGGAAGTTGGGATTGTGGTCTGGGATGTGTAGACCTAATGGACTAATATCTTTGTTGTGATAACTTATTTTGTTGTTTGTGTTTCTTTTGTTTTGGTGCCATTTCTTCATTTGTTTATTCATTTTAGAATTTGCTTGGCAGTAGTAGGGTTTTCATTTGCTTGGTCGCAGCTGTATATGAGATTACGTCCTGATATATAATTAATGTACAGCGTTATGGGATGCTATTTGCATGAATGACACTCTCTAAAATGAAAGTATTAATAAAGACCAAAACTGGAGGATTTCTCCATAACTCTGGCTGTCGCCTGATGAGGCTGGTGGTAATTACCATGGAAACGTCGTAGTTGAATTATAAACGTTGTGGGTTTACTCTTCAACACACCGGTGTGCTGAACTAGTGTAGGGGTTATTACGGGGAGAAAAGGCGGACGGGAAACACAAGGGTGTCTGCACCCACACACACGGGTGGCTACACCTACGTCCGCATCCGTTAACCACTGGGGGGGCATGGGGGCTCTGTGATCCCCCATAACCCCGCCCCTCCGAGGGGATCCCTATAAAAGGCGGGGAGCCAGAGAGCTCGTGGCCAGTTTCAAGAAGAAGCTTACCAGTGAAGTCTGAAGACCGGCAGAATAGGCCCTTGGACTCCCCTGTCTCACTGCCCTTGTCAGGGCCGAGCTGAGTAAGCCAGCGGCGCGGCCCAAGAGCTTCCGGACCTCTGCTCTTGTAAGGGCAAGGCCGGCTTAGCTGGGTGCCGGGATCCGTGCTTACCAGGGCCGGATCAGACAGCCTCCCATAGCCCATTAGAGGAGGACTGGGAACAGGACAGGGGAATTAGTACTAGGGGTGGTTTCCCAGCTAGTATGGGTGAAGGGGCCGTTACCCCTTCAACTATTGTATCTGTCCTTGAGTTAATAAAAGAGTGTGCCTCGACTCTGTCGTCAGTCTCCCTGGAACTCACTACATCTGGCGTCAGGAGTGGTCCAAAGCATGGATACGAGACGGACGACTCGTGCCCAAGACCCCGGAGAGGACAACAACGAGGGAGAGGCGGTGCAAGACGTCGCCGCCGACGTACCTGGCCAACCGCTGCCGGCTCCAACACCTGCGGGGCAGTCGGAGAGGGTCGGGACGTCGGCTGATGAGTTGGTGTTAGCCCACTCCCGACTGGCGGAGCTCCTATATGCAGCGGCCGCCATGCTGGAGCAGATAACTCGCCTAGGGTCGGGGGGAGCGGCGCAGCGGGAAGACGAACAGCGCCCGCCAGAAACTCCCGCCTTTGCGATGGGCCGGTGGCTTGAACTTCCCGCCACGGGTACAGTAGGAGCCGAGGGAGGGGCCCCAGCTCGTCACGCGGGCGGCGGGGCCCAACCAGCGTGCGCCACGTCATCGGCAGGGGCGGGTCGCATTGGCTACCTATCAGCGGTCGCCAGGTCATCACCAGCGGACGACAGCACCGACCAAGCTGGAACCAGCGCGTCACCAACGGCGCGACCTCCATTAGCGTCCGCCATTGCTCCCCATACTGTCCATGGATACGGTACGAGTGCTGGGAGATCATCGGAGACGGAAACGACATTTCAGCAATGGCTGCCGGCCCTGCAGGTGTTCGTATCGAGCGGCGGCGATTGGGGTGGGTTCCAGCGCCGTTTCCTCGCCCACCAAGAAATGGCTGGGTGGACGGACAACAAGGCGCTGTGTGCTCTTCCGGCGATGCTGGATGGCGACGCCCTTGGCACCCTCACTGCCGCACCCAAGTCGGCACGCTCCACGCTTCAGTCGGCGCTGCAGCTGCTGGCCACGGTTTATGGGCCGCCTTCCGATTGTCGCCAGCTTTTCTACGAGCGGCAGAAGGGTGACAAGGAGTCACCACTTGCGTACCGCACGGCCCTGCTGTCGTTGGCGAAGGCAGCCTTCCCGCGCATGGACGAGGAGGGGATCGATGCGATGGTGGCAGAGAAAATTTTGCTATTGGCCGACGACTTGAACTTCGTCATCCTGGCACAGGATGATGCGGACATGTCGTCATTACTGGCTGCAAGGCACATTCATGCCAATCTGATTTCCCAGTGGAGGAAGGCTAACAAGGCAGCTGAGGGACACACCGTGGTGGCGACCACCTCCGAATCTGAGGGGGGCTTCGGGGTGAAATTTCATTGGGGGCCGGAAGAGGAGGCCGCCTTTAACTCTCTTCGTGACGCCCTGGTGGGGGCCCCGCCGTTGAGTTACCCCGATTTTTCTCTACCTTTCGTGTTCGACATGGACGCGAGCAACACGGGGATTGGGGGCGTGCTTTCCCAAGTTGTGGGTGGTGTGGAGCGCGTTGTGGCTTATGGTAGTAGAGTATTGTCTCCTGCCGAGCAGCGATACTGCGTCACCCACCGTGAACTGTTGGCTATTGTTTTCTTTATTCAACAGTACTGGCCATATCTGTACAGCCGGCATTTCACCATCCGTACAGATCATGCGGCATTGCAGTATGCCCTGCGTATTCACCAGCCATCGGGGCAGTTGTCCCGATGGTTGGAGATCATTCAAGATTTCGATTTCGAAACAACATATCGCAAGGGGATTCGCCACACCAATGCCGATGCCCTGTCATGCCTGCCGGTCGCTTCCGATTGCACTTGTTTCTTGGGCTCGGGGCATTGCAAATCGGTGAGCGACGGCCAGGATCGGGTCCTTGCGGCCGCCATTGAGGCTCCTTCGGACGTTGGCCCTATTGATATGGGAGGGAAGGATTCCCTACTGGGCTTGTCAGGTGCGGAGTGGGGGCGCCTCCAAATGGAGGATACTTCCCTCCTGGCGCTACGGCGTCGCGCGGAAGGATCCGGTCAGGGGAAGTCGGTCGTTGACTCATGGGGGTTGTGCCAGGGCCTCCTCATGCATTGGGACGGAACGATCCACCGCCATAGGCTGGTGGTGCCTTCCGCGTTGAGGGGTAGGGCTGTATGGGCCGCTCATGAGCGGCTCCTGCACCTGGGCACCCTCAAAACCCTTGCCATGCTCCAGCTTAATTTCTTTTGGCTGGGCATGGCAAGGGATGTGGACGATCTGTTGCAGTCTTGTACCCAGTGTGCTCAACGGAAGCCGCCAGCGAGGGGAGCCAGCCCACCGCTCCAGTCTATTTCGGTCACCCGGGTTAATGAGCTTGTCGCTCTTGATATTTTGGGGCCGTTTCCTTCCACGCCGAGGGGTAATAAGTGCCTGCTGGTTGGCGTGGAATATTCCACGCGATGGCCTATGGCTTGGCCCCTCGCCAACCAGTCAGCAGCAGCCGTTGCGGAGGCTTTTGTCCAGGGCTATGTCCTCGACAAGGGCGCTCCGGAACGGTTGTTGACCGATCAGGGAAAGAATTTCACTAGTGCCCTTTTACACGAGGTGTGTGAGCTTCTGGGTACGAAGAAAATTCGTACTTCGCCTTACCACCCACAAACGGATGGGATGGTAGAACGCCTGCATAGGACTCTTACGTCCATGCTGTCCCACCAGGTATCTGAGTCCCAAACCGATTGGGACCTTCAGATCCCGGGAGTCCTGGCAGCGTACAGGATGGCTCCTCACGCGGCGACCGGATTCTCGCCATTTTTTTTAATGTATGGCCGTGAAGTTGACCCGCCTGTCGCGACTCAGCTGAGAATTTCCGCACCACACGCTAAATCCTAGTTGGCGGATCATGTTAAATTTAACATCCTCCGGTTGGCTGTGGCACGGGAGGCGGCTATGCAAAACTCTGACTCTCGCCAGAAGCAGAATGAAAGGTTGCGATCGCGCCGGTCGCACACGCACGAATGGCACCCGGGCGACAGAGCGTGGCTACACTGCCCCCAGGTGCCATTGACCACCTCGTCTAAGATGTTGCGACCGTGGACGGGCCCCGTGGAAATTGTGCAGGTTATGCGGCCTCAATGTGTTCAAATTAAATGGGGGAAGCGTCAGTGGTTCGTGCACCCTTCACGGTTGAAGCCGTTCTTTGCGCCACATGCTTCCTCTCATGACTATGGCCGAACATGTGGGGGGTCCACTGACTCCTGGAGGGCGGGGTCGCCGCCAGCCTCTGATCCGCTGCTAACTGTTCCGTCTTCAGGGGCCCAAGGACTGACGCCCTCTCGGCTGCCAGCCTTCCCCGAGGGGGTCGGCGCTGGCTCGTCCAGGAAGCCGGAGGGCCGTGCACCTGCAATTTCAACACCTGCCGCCGACCCCACCGGGTCAGGCCCTTGTGACGGGCCCGCTGCACGGACACGCACCAAGACGCGCCGGTTGTTGTGAGTTGCTTTCCGTGCGTGTTCCGCTGCTGGAGGGCTCGCTCACCTTTTTTTTTGTGGGTGGGGAGGGGGAACCACACTCTGTACATATGTTGCATGTGGGGGCGGTGGGTATTTATAGGGGACCGTCGGTTGTTGTTACACTTGTTCTTGTTATTGTTATGGGGCATACGCGTGTTGACTGTGTTAAGTCTTTATTGTTGGTTTTTGAGGGGTTGTTGCAGCCGGGACGGCTGCGAGCTGTACAGGGGGGGGGGGGGGGGTGATGTAGGGGTTATTACGGGGAGAAAAGGTGGATGGGAAACACAAGGGTGTCTGCACCCACACACACGGGTGGCTACACCTACGTCCGCATCCGTTATCCACTGGGGGGCCATGTGATCCCCCATAACCCCGCCCCTCCGAGGGGATCCCTATAAAAGGCGGGGAGCCAGAGAGCTCATGGCCAGTTTCAAGAAGAAGCTTACCAGTGAAGTCTGAAGACCGGCAGAATAGGCCCTTGGACTCCCCTGTCTCACTGCCCTTGTCAGGGCCGAGCTGGGTAAGCCAGCGGCGCGGCCCAAGAGCTTCCGGACCTCTGCTCTTGTAAGGGCAAGGCCGGCTTAGCTGGGTGCCGGGATCCGTGCTTACCAGGGCCGGATCAGACAGCCTCCCGTAGTCCATTAGAGGAGGACTGGGAACAGGACAGGGGAATTAGTACTAGGGGTGGTTTCCCAGCTAGTATGGGTGAAGGGGCCGTTACCCCTTCAACTATTGTATCTGTCCTTGAGTTAATAAAAGAGTGTGCCTCGACTCTGTCGTCAGTCTCCCTGGAACTCACTACACTAGTAACGAATTGGCATGTTTTGTTTATGTCACAAACCTTACTAATTGGCTGTGTCAGGTGGTTGCGGGTTTAACGACATGCATATTCTTAGATTTTTTTCGGTAAAGTCACGTAGGTAAAAATTTGTAATTAATAAAAGTAAAATAAAATAAAAATCACATTTCGGAGGCAACACAAGCTTCCGTCTTCAGGTGGAACTGTCACAGCACGATAGCTGTATCAAGTGAGAGAAATTCCAAGAACACGTTATTTGTAAAAAATACTGGTTGAGGGTTTGGAGGAGCCAAGGTAGGCCCTGAATATTATTTTTGTGAGGTTCGGTGCGGCTGAAGCACGCCGTTAGGAATGAGCCTTTGTTGTGTAAACTAGGTGCGGATGATGTAAAGGTGCATGTCAAAGGGACTGAGCATTTTTGTTATGCAGAGATGATGTGGCTGAAATCGCTGCCAGGAAATGAGTCTTTGTTGTGTAGAATGGTTGACTGAGCCTATTATTATGTAGAGGTGGTGCGGCTGAAATTGCTGCATTCCTAGCAGCAAAGGCTCATTCCTAACAGCGTGCTTCAGCCACACCGAACCTCACAAAAATAATATTCAGGGCCTACCTTGGCTCCTCCCACCCTCAACCAGTATTTTTTTACAAATACTGTGTTCTTGGAATTTCTCTCACTTGATACAGCTATCGTGCTGTGACAGTTCCGCCTGAAGATTGAAGCTTGTGTTGCCTCCGAAACGTCGTGATTTTTATTTTATTTTTAATAATTTTAATTTTTTACCTACGTGACTTTACCGAAAAAACCTAAGAATATGAATCCTTGCAGTCACGAAAGCTTCAAATCTAGAATTAACGACATGCATTTATATTTACGCGACATAACCCAAAATACCTCTTATGGATAATATTTGTCGTGAAAACCTGCTACGTGTTAAACTGAAAGAATTATTATTGTTATGTGTAGGCACCCCGGCGATGGTTTTTCTACAGAGCCTGCTGAAAAAGCGCCTGCCCTACAGCTTCCAGTGGAACATCTTAACTTCCGTGTGTATGTGACACACAGCCACTGCATTATTCATCACAGCACACAGGACGGCTATGCGTTGGGCTATGTTACAGCACAGCATTGTAACAAAATGGAACTACAACTGCACCAGAGTAGGGGGCTTCACATTTGTCCAGCTTTTCAGCCCTTACCTTCTCACCCCCTTAACCACAATAGACATATTTGAGACCATCCACAGCTTGGGAGTGGGAAATCAGGAAGTAAGGTGGCCACAAAACCTGCTCTTATCTTTCAATTAGCACGAGTTCTATAAAAAAATGACATTGCATAGTAAACCCTCACTATGTGCGAGTTGCTAAATGTAGACTCATTCTATATTCGCAACCGTGCCAGACTCTGGTATTCCTGATGATACTATGTCGTGTTAGACCACCGACACCGGGGAGGTGCGTGCAGAGTGTTGTTATGTTTGAAATGGTCTGCAAAGATCTGGCACGTCCTCTCGGCTGCCCGCTTAGTCCTCAAGTGTCGCAGTAATCCTGCTCTGATCTCGCTTTTGTGCATTTTTACTTTAAGTCGACTGTGAGGTTCATGAAAAAGATTGGCGAGTGCTCTCCAGAGTGCTAAATGATAACAACTGTGCGTTGCTAGCAAACACCTGCATCTCCCAAGGAGTCATCCACCTGAAATTCTTGGAATTACAAACACCTCAATCATCGTCAAATCACCATCCTCAAAGGAAATTTAAAAAAAACACATTGCTCTTTATAATGTATTATGGATTTATTGTCGTCATTGTTTTGTTACATATTTACCATTTCCCACCTATGTTCACTCGTACCTAGATCGAAAACCCATTTCTCCTATTGGAACAAGGTTTCTGCATTTGCGAATTTTGCAATTGCGAGCGATTTCAAGAATGTAACCCACACGTACAACAAAGTTTCTAACACAATACCAGTACCAGATCTGAGTGCAAATCGATTATTGCCACCCGACACACACACACACACCAATTCCCAGACTGCTTGGGTCAAACCCAGACTGGTGGTGTAATGATCGAGTTCGAGTCGTCGAATCACAGTCTGGACTTTATTTACACACGCGCGTATCTCAAACACAATTCACAACCGTTTTCCGAAATCACTTAAATATATCTAAATGTGATAACGCTAACTATACGTGATGTGTGTGGCGAGATGTTAACTACCTCGCCTGGTATACAAGAGGTCGTGGGTTCGATTTCGACCCTGACACCTGCATATTTGGAGTTTGCATTGTCACGTGGATTTTTCTCCAGGTCCTCCAGTTTTTCCTTCTACATTAAGAATAAACATCAAGCGTTTAGAGTGTTTGGCTGCTGTAAATATCCACGTGATGATAACCCACTTCATTGAGAAATCTTTCGTGATAGCTAGTGTCTCTGCCTCGCTGTGCGCTGCGTTGCACCGCTAGCTGAGTAGTTAACCTCGCGTCCAATAAACCCTCAGAGCCAGGATGAACGTCCGACTCCAAACGTCATTTATTGAATTTAACGAGGTAAAACTGGTAAGAAAACAGCAGAGATACAGCATCTGTTAATACCCGGAAACACCAACACAATGAATGAACACCACAGCATCACAACATTGTCTTAGATAAACAATAGATCCTGGATGGACCAGGCCCCTACATTACCACTGAATAACTATACAAGAGCATAAGCTGCTATGTTACATAAATGCACATCGTGTATTCATCACACTGCACCCCAAATGTACAGTATTACACATAACACTAAATTGTGGATGAGATATTTTGTCATCCTTGCTCTCAGGATCGCAATATAGTTACTTGGGTACAAGTTTGACTCGACTTATTAAATTACAAGTAACATTCACAATAAGGAAAGTTGCAGGCTTCGTTGTTAACTAGGCCTCGTATTTATCATAACAATTTAACAGCATTATACAGGCATTTACATCATTATAACGGTCATTCTAACATTATAACAGCATTGCCAATATTATAAGAACATAAACGAACTTACAGACAATGCTTTTTAAAGTCCCACAATGGACAATTGCGGCTGGCTTCACTGGGACGCGATGTGTGCCGCCATCTTGAATTATGTGTGTAATGGCCAACGCCCGCGTGGTTGAGCGGGAATCTTAAATTGCAACTTCCTGGTCACGTGACCAAAATTAGCATCAAAAACAGGAAATTCCTGTGTACATACGCCCCTCCCCCCTCTGCCGTGAGGCAAAACCCCTGCCGTGAGGCAGAACAGCTAGGTCGCTTCTAAAAAAAGAGCTATATAGCTCAGCACACCTTACCGGGTAAAATACCAAAAATATTTTTTATAGTTTTACAGTAATTGTGTCTATAATTTGCACTGTTAACTAACCTAGTGTACCAACCTCCACCCCCCGCCTCTCGGCTTCACTGTCCCTCATGCCCTCAATGTGACAGTGCCCGTTCCCGTGGCCACCCCTCTTGTGACAGCGCCCTTCCCCGTGGCCGCCTCTTTTGTGGCAGCGCCCATCCCCGTGGCCATCCCTCTTGTGTCAGTGCCCTGCCCCGTGGCTGCCTCTTTTGTGACAGCGCCCATCCCTGTGGCCATCCCTCTTGTGTCAGTGCCCGTCCCCGTGTCCTTTTTGCGTCAGCGCCAATCCCCGTGGCCGCCCTCTCCACGCCCAGCACCCACCGCCGCTTCTCTCACTCCAGCGCATACCCTCGCTCACTGTCCACCATTCCCGTTCATACTACCTCCCCTCCATTCATTATCACCTTTAAACGGGGGGTTGTTTAACGGGGCTATTCGGTACTGCAAAAAAAAACTGAACGCATTTGTCAATATCATTAAAGGAACAATATAATAGGTGATGTTTCGTGCATTGGCCCTCCTTCATAGTACATAGAGAGGCCAGAGTGTGGATTATAGTTGGAGACTGCACTTTGCACCACAGTGCCTAAGGAGAATTAAATGAATAAAAAAATTGTCATGACCTTTTAAATTGGCATGTGAATAGTTACTTAAGGAGTATTGAGTAACAGACAGACCCTTGAATAATCAACATGTGTTACTACTAAATAAACGAATATATTGGAAGTAAAATAAAATGTTGCTGACACATTGCACTGTGGGAGGGCTTGTTCTAGTGAGCAAAAAGTGAGCAATTCAGCTGTCCTACATTCCTGAGGCCGAGAAGTCTAACAAAATTTAATGTGAGGTACACATATATGAAACTAAAGTAAATACAATGTAACTAAAAAGGCATAGTGCCAAATAATAAAGCTGTGTTTTAGGCGAAGGTGAGGGCATCCATTCAGTCCTGCAAGCAGCCGTCCTCAGGTGAAGAACAGGGCCGTCGGAAAGACAGTGTCCTAATGAACACTGCTAACCTTGGCAGCGTATTTTTAAGCTGGGTCGGAGGAGGAGAGAGCCTCGACAAAGGAGTTTGCATATCAACAGAGGAATTTAGCATATTGATGACAAATGCAGATATGGGATAAGTCACTACTTGCGGAATGTGTAGGTGGTGGGTGGGTCTCAAAGTCATATTATGCTAGTATATTATGTAGGATTAGCAGGACGTGATAAACCATTTCGGGTCTTGATGGATTGTGTTCATGTTTACGGTGACTTTCAGACCGCATTACATTCGCTGGCATTGACTATATAGCTTTTGTTTTCTCTTCACGGATCAGAGTCTTTGCTCCACTGCAAGTTTCCTATCACCACTCTCCCATTGACATATGTCTTTGCTTCCTCTTAGTAGCATCACGCGACTGTCAATGGTATGGCGTATAGTAGATTGTATAAGAATAAATAGTATAATAATGTAATGTTTAATAGATGTTTAATAGAATGTATAATATATAGTATTATAATTGTATAGTGAATATTCAGCGGTGTGGTATACATTAGGGTTTATATTACAATATTACAATGTACAGTCTAAGGTATAGGGTAGTGTATAGTAACGCAGTGTATAATTCAATGTTGGGATTTGTCTATGGCAGTGCATAGTACGGTGTCAACATAGAAGTGTAATGTATATTGTTAGTAGCTCAGCTTATTGGAGAGTATATTGAGTTTATTGATTATATTGATGTAGTTTATATTTTAATTTTTTATCAGTTTACTATATGGTAGTCAATATATAGTTTAGTGTATACTCAGTTACTTAATGTTAATAGCTCAGCCTATTGGATAGTATATTGAGTACATTCATTATATTGATGTAGTTTATGCTTACTTTTTTCACATCGGTGTATTATATGGTAGTCGGGCATTTGCAGTTCTTTAGAGACTCCTCCTTTTTTGTTGCCCACATAATGCACGAGCTTGATACGCGGTGGTTTGGCTGCTGCAGCTCTGTACTATTTTAAAATGTACCTCCCTTTATTACTGCTAATCCTATTTCCCTCCCTTTATCACTGCTAATCCTACATAATATACTAGCATAATATGACTTTGAGACCCCCCACTACCTACACATTCCACAAGTAGTGACTAATCCCATATTTGTCATCAATATGCTAAATTCCTCTGTTGATATGTAAACTCCTTTTTCAAGGCTCTCTCATTCTCCGACCCAGCTTAAAAAATACGCTGCTAAGCTTAGCAATGTTCATTAGGACGCTGTCTTTCCGACAGCCCTGTTCTTCACCTGAGGACAGCTGCTTGCGTTGTGGCCGAAACGTCGTGAGATTTTTATCTTATTATGTTTTCTTTTTATTATTTTATTATTTCCCTTCTACGTGACTTTACCGAAAGAACTAAGAATATGAATCCATGCAGTCACGAAAGCTTTAAATCGAAATTTAAGCTGGGAGGTTGAATTGAGCGAGTGATACAGAGGCAGAACATGAGTGTCGTGCGTTGACCTCACATCTGGTTCTGGAATTGGTCCCAGCTCTGTGTGGCCCAGTGTGGCACTAAGCACGTGGCTCTAAGTATGTGCTTGCAAGCGTAGTTTGAGAAGGAAGCCCCAGGACCATGGTCTGGGATTAAAATGTTCTAACCACACAGCCCTGGTGGGTCCAATGGGTTTGGGGTCGAGCCCTGCGCCATGGCAATGACCGCTCTTCGTCATGTCCCCCCGTGCCTCGTGCAGTGGTCAGCTCGGTCGTCAGTTACAGCATCACCCGCAGGGAGGTGGGAAAGTGTGGAGAAAACTGGATTCGCTTTGAGAAGGGAGAGCTGCCACAAGATCTGACAGACGGTAACGGCGATGATTGTAGCACATTTAAAATCACTGCTTTTTTCATGTTGCAGAGACTGTACTGGATTGTCTGCTTATTTATTAAATTGCGGTTCTCCACAATGCCGTTCATGATATTTTGTACTGCTAGTAGTATTGTTGAAAACCTGTGTTTTTTCCTATGCATCTTGATGATCTCAGTATATAGAACGAGCGGCCTCGGTTTGGGGAGGGGGACGTTGCCAAAATGATGCAGCAGCAACGACAGCGTGAAACGTTTGTAATTCATAGTTTTGCGCCATTTCCTCCGTCCCCTCGGTATGTTTCCCCCTCAGCCGTGGAGCAGCCGGAGGGAGCGTCCCCTTCTGCGGGTTCTGAACATGAGACGGCCCCCGGACGCACCAAGTACGGCGACGTCCTCGAGTAAGAAGTGTCTGGGTGCTGAGCACGAGCAGCCAGGGAGGGGAGAGGGGATGGCGACGGCCATGGGAAGAGGAAGAGTTCGTCACCAGGAACGAAGCTGCGAGCGGCGTGCCCGGAGAATTTAATATCGTGCAGCATCAGGAAGGAACTTCAAACGTTCGTGCTTAAAGGCCCTGAAGTAAAATAAAAAAAATTACATATCTGTCAACCCCTTATCAGTGCTACCTTATTACAGACCAATTCATATATTATTGGTCACCTGGTGCCCTTATAAATCTCAACATTCATCCTACAAAGTCCCATCAAAAGGGAGAAACAGACATTTTTTTGCCCGTATTGAAACGGATGTACGCCGTATGGACCTGAAAACTAAATTTCCCTGTACATTAATACGGGTAAACCATATAGGTTGCAGGTATGTAATGAGGTTTTGTTGGTGTTGGAAATTCTATCTGTTGTGAAACTGATGCCGAATAGGGATTAGTCATTGAGACCCCTTTTTTATTGCTGCACTACTGCACCACCAGTTTTTTTTATTGATGCACTACTGCACCACCAGTTTAAAATAAAAAAAAACTCAGGAAAAATCTAAATGAGTCTACAGAGTTCCTTCTTCGAATATGGGTTCTGCACCAAATTGTTGGGCGTTTGTACACAGGGGAAGACAGAAGAGTAGAAACGCCATGGATGAGAAAACACCTGCGCAATCACCACATACAAATCAGAACATCGCTTGCTACCATCATTCCAACCAATCACATAGTTGTTGCATAAAGTATAGCTTCATCACGGCTATTTGCGTGTTGGTTTCAAGTTTGGGGATGAACAAAGGTATGATTTAAACACTGTAACACTCTTGAGTGGTGTACCATCCCCTTCATGGCAATGTATGCATTTTACCATAAAAATACCTTAAATTATGACAGTACTTAGCGCCACTGTTCTGTGTAAATCATCCAATGTGCTGATCTGCATTGAACAGTAAACGTGCCCGTACCGTCGTAACAGATACTGTGTCAACCCATACGGTTTACCCGTATTCTTGCGCAGGGAAATTGAATTTTCAGATACATATGGCATACAGCCGTTTTAATACGGGCAAAAAATGTTTGTCTATTTGTGTTTCTTTCTTGTGATGGGACTTTTTAGGATGAACGTTGAGATTTATAAGGGCACGGGTGACCAATAAGGTCTGAATTGGTCTGTAATAAGGTAGGAACTGATAAGGGGTTATGAGAACATTTTATACATATGTAGTGGGTTCAACTGAGTCACAGACATAGACTTTGGAGGCAGCGCATTTATTTACTTCCAACACATGGGGTAACTTCCCCTTAACAGAATAACAACCTTCGGTGGTGACCACCTGGCTAACTACACTAGTTACCACGTAACTGTTACTATGGACCTGGGACCAAAAGCATCTGCCCGGGTCCACGTGCTAGAAGACTCGTAGAACGGAGTTTGTAGACGAAGGGTTATTTTCCCAGGATGAACAACCCCGGTCCCTCTCGGGACTCGGCTTGTATTCTCTGTGGCGTGGCCAGCTCCGCCCTTGGCCATGTCCACCTTCCAGAACCATCGGGAAGGACCTGGGTCCCAATCACGTGACCCCCCTAGCCCCCTCTTGGGGGCCCCTCTCTCATCTTAACCGGTCACGTGTCCTCCCGGGTCAACCAGAGTGCCATGGCCTCACACGACCTTCCCCTTTGGACGGCACCCACACACCGTGTCCTGTAGGGCTGGCACTGCACCCACAGCATGGTGACATCCAGCGATGTCACTACACATATGTAGTGTGTTATACGGAGGCACACACTGGAGTTGGAGGCAACACGTTTATTTAACGACCCAACAGGGCTGACTACATAAACGTACACTGGTTCTACATTTAGGTGATAACTACACGGTTAACTAGACCACAACAGGGTAACTACATAACCGGGTCAGCCAGTAAAACACTACCTGACCCACGATGCCGAGCGTAACATCAAAGACCGAAGACCTAGGATCGAAGACGTAGCACCAACAGGTTCCATTTCAACAGAGAGCCCAGACCCCTCTCGGGACTGCCCCTTTATGCTCCTGAGCGTGGCCTGGCTCCGCCCTCGACCACGCCCCCTTCTAGATCCGACTCGAAGGTTCTGGCCCATATCACGTGTCCCTCAAGCCACCTTTCGACCCCCTTGCTACCCTGCCCCGGCCACGTGCACTCTGGGTTCACACAGAGTATCACGTCCTCACTTGCTCTCTCTCTGACCCTCACCAGAACTATGCCCCCTAGGGCCCGCTTCCATGCCATATTCGCTCTGGTGCCAGAGAGAGACTCAAGACGTAGATTTCCACTCTTGTGACAGTCGCTGGCGCTAAGCACCATATTAACTCCATATAAGTCACTACACATAGTTGAAAATTTCACTGACATACGACACAAGTTCAGAACAAAGAAATCATCACTCGCTACGCCCCTTGGCGAACATTCTGCCACAAAATATCCGCAAAGACGTGCAAACTGAAAGTTAATTTACGTGTTTTCTTGCCAAAAAAAACCTACACATCAACCATACCTGTCAACCCATATGGTTTACCCCGTATTCTTGTACAGGGAAATTGAGTTTTCAGGTCCATATGGTGCACAGCCGTTTCAATACGGGAAAAACAAATCTATGTTTTGTGTTTTTTGCTCTTGTGATGGGACTTTGTAGGATGCTCTTTGAGATTTATAAGGGCAAGGGGTGATCAATAAGGTCTGAATTGGTCCGTCATAAGGTAGGCACTGATCAGGTATGGTAATAATCTGAATCGATGTGGGGGGGGGGGGTACCTGTGGTGCCACAACGACGGGGCCGCTCTGCCGAACCAGGGAGCCGCCCGGCTTCCCCCACCGCACTGCCCCCCATCACCCGCCCCACATAAGCACACACCCGCACGCATTCCCCCCCCCCCATAGAGCTGGAAGGGAAGGTCACCTGATCGACCGGTTTTTATCCGAGAGACCCTTATCGGGATTAATTCTCACGGTTTCCGGCGATCAGGGAATTGGATGACCTCCCCGTGCTACGTGGCACCGCGGCGCTGCGGCCGGCCTTAATATGGTAGGTCGTGGCGTGGGGCATTCGGCCACCGCGGTTGAGGCGCATTTCCCCCCACACACACTCCCACGGGTCGACGGGGCGAGCAGGGGAGGCACGGGACAGCATGAATAGCGGGGTCACAGGGGCTGTTGCGCATAGTCATGGAGGGTTGGGATAATTGCGCTTGAGCGCGCAAGCCCCATTGGTAGGAAGGGTAAGGGAGTAATTAGGATTTACGCCTTGCACGCAGCACACTGATTAGCATATCAACAGCGCCTGGGGACTGCCGTGCGCGGGCTTGGGGTGCACGAGCCCATTGTTCAGCGCAGCATCCCCTTTGGGAGGTAGGGAGGATAAATAGAGGAGCGCAGAGGGGAAATCGCTCGCTTACTCCAGCGCCAGGCGACCAGACGCAGCTCGAGCCAGCGACCCGGACGTCCGTGCGACGCACCGAGGCACGCGGTTAACACAAGGATCAGCGGACCGCCGTGGACACTTAACAGTGAGTAAGAAGGGGAATTAGAATCATAGCCGATAAATAGGGAATAGGTGCCGGTTTAGTGGAATAGGCCAGCCTCGTCGACTCACTAATTCAACATTAGTTATCAGGTAATAAATCATTAATAGCGAAGCGTGGTCTCGCGTGATCTTGTCGTGCAGTGTGAGCGTGTGGGAACGCGTGTGGTACTGTGTGTGCGTAAGCTCGCAGCGTGCGTAATCGGCGTCCCCCAGGTGCGCGATCATAGCGTAATCGGCTGCGCATTGTTGTACGGTTTATCTCGCGCGCACGGCGGCGGCGACTTTAGTCGTTGTGTCGGCGTGTGCCCCGCTTGCGTGTGCTCGTTACGTGTTATAAGTGTGAACGCGTGTAGTACGGTGTAGGCGTAAGCTCTCGTCGTGCGAAATCGGCGTACCCCAGGTGCGCGATTGTAACGTGAGCGGCCAGCGCGGCGCAGAGAAGCGCAAGAGTGAGTGCCGTACGGAGCTGTGTGTGTGGGTGTGCGCGTACGTAATTAACCATGCCTGCTACGCGGACCCGCGGTGGAGTGGAATCCTCGGGCGACGGCTCCCACCCCATGGGTGAGGAACTTAGCAGCGGTTCGCTTAGCAGCGGGGGGGCGATTGATGATGCTAGCCCGGCCGTTAACATTATCGAGGGAGGGATCTCGGGGGCTAGCGACCCCCACAAATTGGGGTCAGAAGTGGGATGGACCCCCGCGTTACCTCACGCTAAAATAAGACTAATATTTACCGGCCGGGGGGCCCCTTCGTGGAAGGCATTCGCCCGCAATCTCTTAGGGGCCAAGGAAATTAATGGATGGACGGACGCGCAGGCAGTACGTCAACTTAATATGAATCTTGATGGGCGGGCAGCCGATTTTGTAGAAGCGTTACCCGCGAGCGCACAGACACAGCTAGAGGAGCTGATGCGCCGACTCGATCAGCGTTTTGGCACGCGTGACGAGGAGGAAGCAAAATCGGCCTTAGAGGCGCGCCGGCGCCAACCTGGCGAAGATCTACGTGATTACGCCGAGGATGTGCGTGAGTTAACAAAGATCGCACGCCCGGGGTACGCAACTGATGTTATTGAGGAACTGGCCGCCGAGAAAATCCAGCGGTACCTGTCTCGCACGGCGTGGTGGCAGCCAGACATGAGCTGCCCACGTCTTCCGTTTAACACCCTTGTCGAGCGCGCACGTAAGTGTGAAAGAATTCACAGCGAACGCGCGCAGCTCCGGGGGCTGGGACGAGAGCGCGCCATTGCGAGCCTGCTCTCGGAAGACGAGGAGGAGGGACAGGAGCTCGCGAGGACGGTAAGGGGCCGGGAAAGAGAGCCACAGAGACCCAGCGAGACGACCCCGGGGTGGGTAGCCGGGTTACAGGCCGGCATGGGAGATATGATAACCCAAGTAGGTGAGAGGGTAACTCACGTAGGTGAAAGGGTAACCCAGGTACGCGAGGAAGCAAATAAAAATATGACCAAACTGCAATCCTCCGTTGAGACCATCCGATCCGAAATGGGGGACCTACGCGCCACGGTGGGAGGGTTATCTGGGAGGGTAGCCCGACTAGAGGCGGAGGGTGGACAGCGGCGTAATGGGGGGGGAGGGAGCGGACAGGGGACCCGCTACGGAACCGCCCCCCCTCCCCGGGCATGTTATATGTGCGATCGCCGAGGGCATCTAGTGAGGGACTGTCCTGAAATCACCCGAGCGAGACAGACGCGGGGGTTAAAACTCCAACGCCCCCTAGAGAGCGGACCAACTAGGGGTGCAATCGACGCGGTCCCGATACAAATAGACGATAATGAGAATAATGGCGAGCGAGTGATCTCCACACAGGTTCCAGCAACAACGCCCACGGAAACGGTGACTCCTGGCGACTGGCTGCGGGAGCTGGTGGCGGGGATCACGGGGGCCACGTCGCTGGTGGAAGGGGAGGTTAACGGAGTGCGTACCCGAATCCTGCTGGACACGGGGGCGGTGGCCTCGCTCGTGAGCGCAGCGCACTGCAGCGCGATCGGGGTCGACGTGCGTCACCTGCAGGCACCGGACCGCGCGCTGCACACGGCGAGCGGAGCCGGAATGGGGCTGCTGGGGAGAGCCACCCTAGAGGTCCGCATAGGCAGTCAGGTGTGCACCCAGGAGTTCTACGTGTCGAGTGCGTTGTGTCACGAGTGTATCGCAGGTACCGACCTCTTAGAACGGCTGGGACTCAACGTGCAACCCCGCCAGCGATGCGCCACCATGGAGAGCAACGGCGAGCGGATACCGTTCCTGGGACGAGAACCGACGCGCCGCCGCTTTGCACCTGTGGCCGCTATCCTGACGACGGCAGTCACCATCGGCCCGCTCACCGAGGTGCTGGTGCCGGTGGCAACATCCCCCACCGACCCCGCGCTCCGACCATCAGGGGAGGTAATGCTAACTCCTCACCCGGAGTTGGCAAAACGGTATGGGGTTGTGGGATCCGCCACGTTGGTAAACGCAGATGGGGACCGATTGTTTATGCGGATGTTTAACCCCCACAATACCCCCGCGATACTGCGACGGCGCACCCCGATAGCCACAGTACACCCCCTGCACGCACGCCACTCTAACGACTCGGTGTTCGCACTCTGGGCTGAGGACCCCGGTCGTCCTGAGGGTGAGCAGGACCTGGCCTGGCGAGTCGGCCCGACTCCCCGAGCCGAGGTCGTTCCCCTGCTCGACGCGTTACATGTACCATGGGCGGACTTACCTAAGGGAGAGGCCGATCGGCTGCGCGAGTTACTGCGGGAGTATGCCGACGTGTTCAGCGAACACGACTCGGACGTGGGTCGGACCGACCTTGTTAAGCATCAAATTGACACCGGTGCAGCCCGACCCATCAAACTCCCTGCGTACCGAGTGGGCGCACCCGAACGCGTCCAAATCAAAGAGGCAGTTGGGGACATGCTTCGCGATAACATAATTCAGCCCTCGGCGAGCCCCTGGTCAGCCCCGGTGGTACTAGTAACGAAAAAGGATGGGTCAACCCGATTCTGCGTCGATTACCGTAAACTAAACGCAGTCACGCTCGGCGATGCCTTCCCCATACCTCGCATCGACGACACCTTCGACAGTCTCGCAGGAGCGCGGTATTTTTCCACCCTCGATCTGGCGTCCGGTTACTGGCAGGTGGAGATGACGGAGGAGGATCGGCCAAAAACAGCATTCACCACCCCGATGGGCCTGTTTGAGTTTCGAGTGTTGCCGTTCGGACTCACTAACGCGCCCGCGACGTTCCAGCGGTTGATGGAGTTGGTGATGCGGGGCTTGCAGTGGGAACAGTGCCTGATTTACTTGGACGATGTGATAGTGTTCAGTAGATCTTTGTCTGAGCATTGGTCCAGGCTTCGAGAGGTGTTCCAGCGGCTGCGAGCGGCTCATCTCAAGCTCAAGCCACGTAAGTGTTACATCGCACAACGCGAGGTGGGGTACCTCGGGCATCGCGTCAGCGAGGCAGGCGTGCGCACCGATCCGGAGAAGGTACGCGCCGTAGTGGAGTGGCCACGGCCAAGGAATCTGACGGAGATCAGATCATTTTTGGGGCTCGCCACCTATTATCGTCGATTTGTAAAGGGATTCAGCGAGATTGCACGCCCCCTCACCCAACTCACCTCCCCTAAGCACCCCTACCAGTGGACGGGGGCCTGCCAGACGGCCTTCACCACTCTCAAAGACCACCTCACCCACGCCCCCACCCTCGCTTTCCCCGATTTTACCACCGATTTTATTTTGGACACCGACGCCTGCAGCAGCGGGCTGGGCGCGGTGTTGTCACAGGTACAGGATGGGGCGGAACGAGTCATCGCGTACGCCAGCCGGACCTTGAGTGGGGCCGAGCTGAACTATTGCGTGACCCGCCAAGAGTTGTACGCCGTGATTTTCGCATGCAAACAGTTCCGACCGTATTTGTACGGCAGGAGATGTCGCGTACGCACTGACCATTATGCTCTGCAGTTTCTTCTTACATTCAAGGAGCCGCGGGGGCAGATGGCCCGGTGGTTGGCGCAGTTGCAGGAGTACAACCTGCAAATCGAGTATCGGGCTGGCCGGACGCATGCCAACGCGGACGCCTTGTCGAGGCGACCCACGGTGTACGCCGAGACGAGGGCGGAGGAGGCCTGCCCGTGTTTCACGGCGGGACGCTGCCGGCAGGCAACGGACCCCCGAGAGGCCGCGGCCACTGACCCCCCCCCAGCGAGGGAGAGTGCGGTGTGCGCCACAGAAACCCTCACAGGTGGCACTGAGGATCCCGTCGACCGCCCGGCAAGCGCGGGACCCGCGGCTCGGGACCCGATCGGACGGATCCAGGAGGACGTCGGCTGCGCCTTCCCGGGCCTAAACGACGAGCAGCTGAGACAGACCCAGCAGCGAGATCCGGATCTGGCGGCAGTGGAGGCGGCACTGCGGGAGGAAAAGAGCGCCCTACCAGGACCCTGGAGCGGTTTGTATGCCCGGTTGTGTGTGCGGAACGGAGTGGTACGGGAGTTAACCGAGGCCGGCCAGCCGGGGGGCATCTGTGTTCCTGCCCAGGTGCGACCCCAGCTGCTACGGCTGGTGCATGACCACCCACTCGGGGGCCATGATGGGGAACGGCGCACCCGGGAGACCCTGCGTCGCCAGTATCTCTGGCCCAAATTGGCACAAGATGTGGCCGCCTGGGTGCAGGGCTGCCGGGCCTGTCAGCAGTGTGGGCAAAAGCCGGCGAGGTACCAGGTACCCCTGAGGCCGTTCCGAGTCAGTCGGACGAATCAGTTGGTCGGAATCGACCTGCAGGGGCCCTTTCCACGATCCCACCGGGGCAACCGATATATTCTCGTAGCGGTGGAATACTTCACCCGCTACCCCGTGGCGGTGGCTATCCCAGATAAAACAGCCCTTGTAGTGGCCCGGGCCTTCGTGGAAAACTATGTACTTAAGTGCGGGATCCCCGAACGAGTCATTACCGACCAGGGTAGTGAATTCGAGGCCGAATTATTTCAGGCGCTGTGCCGAGAGTTCGGGATCCAGAAGGACCGAACCACGGCGTATCACCCCCAGGCGAACGGGATGGTAGAGAGGATGAACCAGACTCTGGCCGGGAAGCTTAAACGCATGGCGGCCGCGAATCAACAGGACTGGGACGAACACCTTCCCTATGCCCTGTTCGCCTACACCACCGCCGTTCACACCTCTACAGGACAGACCCCGTTCCTAATGATGTTTGGTCGCGAGTCTCGCCTGCCCGCAGATCTGCTGTTCGGTGTTCCTCCGCCGCAACGGGAGGAAGGGAGCCACCCCGTGGAGCACTTGCTGGAGACCCTGCGAGGGGCCAGGGGCCGAGCCTGCCCGCACGGAGAGGCCGCGCACCAGCGGCAAGAGCAGGGCGCCCGACCCCGTATGGAGCCCCCCTTCTACACTGCGGGCTCCGAGGTGTGGCTGTACACTCCCCGCGTCGGTGCCGGACAGGTGGGGAAGCTGACCACCTACTGGCGAGGACCCTGGATTGTGAGACGGCAGATCTCACCATGGACGGTGCTGATTCAGGGAGGAGAGAGGGGCCGGGAGATGGTGGTCAACATCCGCCGACTGAAGCCGTGGCGAGCAGCCCCCGAGGGGGGGAGCCCCGCCGTCCAAGTACCCCGAAACCCCGGGGTCCCCCCACCCCCCGTGCCC